CCACTCCATTTCTTTTACAGGATTCTTGCCCACAGTAGTAGATATGATGGTCATCCGAACTGAATTCGCCCATTCCTGTACATTTTAGTTCACTGATGCCCAGGATGTCAATATTTATCCTTGCCATCTCATTTTTGACCACAATGTTTTTATTACTTAACATTAATTGGCTTTGTTCGTTGTATGCTTTTTATAATTTTTACTGGCACCCCTTTGAGACTTCTGTGGTTAAGCAGTAGCAGGTTTTCCCAAATTAGTCCAACATCTGAGGATACATTTTTTTCTGACTGGAGAAAGGGAGGGGGCACTTTATTCTCTTACCTGGAAAGACTTTCCCAAGGATGTGTGTAATAATAATAATGATAATATTTTTAATGCACATTTTCCCCAACAGATGCATTTTTTTGCTTAACGTTCTTTATAGCTGGAGAACTGCATTGCAAAATTTGGGAAAGTGTACTATTCAAAGGGTAGCTGTGTTCTCGTTCTTGTATCATTTGGGGCATGTAAATTAGTTAGGTCCAGATTCCTGCATTGCAGGGGGTTGGACTAGATGACCCGCACGGTCCCTTCCAGCTCTACAATTCTATGATTCTATGTTAAACTGCGAGCCAAACTGAATTTCTCTTCCTTTCTGCCCGAGTTCCCGTTCAGTGTGGGTTGCCCAGCTGGAAAAAGACCGGAACAGTGATTCTGTTACATCACTGTACGGGGGAGTGACTAAATGATCCATCCCAGAGAAGCAGCAGGATTGCTGATCCTTAGCAGATGCCCAGAGCAGTAACTCATCCAGAATTTCAATGTGGAGGATTCAGGGCCCTCAAATTATTCCAGTTCTTCATTTCCCATGGCACACTAGCAGTTCTCTCTACACTATCTGACACGATCAGGTCTAGAAACATGCACTGTTTGTTTTGTTGCTGGCTGGTTGTTGTTTTTTAAATCCAACATTAAAGTAGCTGGGATTCCAAAGCAGCCACACCAGACAGTTCCATTTCACGTGGCCCAGATCTAACCCCTCTCCATGCCCCCAAAACACGGTGATTTAGTTACAGAGAGGAAGCAAGGGATTTCTTAATCGCAGCCAGATGTTTAATTGCTCAGTGCTAAAAGTAGCAGCAGAAGAAGAGGTGCCATCTGTTTAAATTGTTAGAATATAAACACCAAGCCACTACGAGCTGCATTGCACTAATTTATCTTGTGAAATTAAGAGAACAGGGGTGGGGGAGGGATAAAGAATATGAGAAATGTAGATACGGTGAAAACAGTTTTTCCAAGTATAAAAATAGCAGCAGTAATTAAATAACGGTGGGGAGAGACGGCAATGCCTCAGATTGAAGCAAAACGACAGTGTGATGACTCGACGCTCAGGTTAGAAACATTAAGACATGTCTCGCAATTAGTAATTGCATTTCTTTTCTATTTTGTGTTGGTTTTCTAATGTTAAGAACATGAACCACAATAAGAGAGGAAGGAAAGAAGACACGGACAAGGTTTCCTTTCAGAAAATCTCTTGACACTGTGAACTTTCAGGAAATCTTTTTTTAGGCCCCAATGAGACTGGGAAAAGGGAGAATCAAAGCTGCCCTTTAGAAACGTCCCGGCTCCGGGATCTTTTCTTCGGTCCAGCGTGGAGAGAAGTAAATTAGCGTGGGAACCACAAAGTGAGAGGAGGCGCAAATAGGGTGAACCTGAGATGCCTTCACACACACACACACACACACACATCTTCCAATCTGCTGGCAGAGTCCACCTGTTGCTCCTTATCACCGGCTCTCGGAATCTGACTGCTGCTGCCTCTCCACGGGATTGGCCAATGCACCGGCAAGATTCAACACAAACGCCATTGGTTATGCTGCAAGATATCTGGAAAGGGTAGTGCTGCTGCTTTTGACACGCAAGGGATGTCAGAAGGCAACGGTTTCTATTCCAAACTGCATTAGTCATAATCGGTTCCGTTTCTCTTACACTGCGGTTCAGTTTCTGCCAAACACTACATTATTCATCTCACCATGACAGCTATTTAGAATCACAGAACTGTAAAGTTGGAAGGGACTCCAAGGGTCATCTAGTCCAACTCCCTGCAATACACAAATCACAGCTAAAGGAACCATGACAGAGGAGCATCCGGCCTCTGTTTAAAACCTATAACAAAGGAGAGTCCACCACCTTCCGAGGAAATACGTTCCACTCTCAAACAGCTCTTACTGTCAGAAAGCTCTTCTTAATGTTCAATTGGAATCTCCTTTCTTGTCGTTTGAATTCATTGGTTCGGGTCCTCCAGAGCAGCAGAAAACAAGCTTGTTCCATCTCCCATGTGACAGCTCTTCAGGCTAAACTTACAGCTGGATTGGGCCCTCAAAATGGGTGAATTTAAATCCCTGATCAGCCTTGTTGTTCACTGGAGGAGCTGGCTACAGTAGTCTCTCAGATTGGCATGCTTCACAGAGTTGTTGCATGGTGACACAGAGCTCCTTGAAGAAAGGGCAGAGTACAAATGCCACAGGGAGGAATTCAATAAGTGAAGAGGTTTCCTTGTCACTCTGCCTCCATGTACCAGTAGCTAGACTGGTTGGATTTCTGCCTGTTGTACTGCTCTCAAAGGCAGAGGAGCCTGCCTGGAGTATAGGGGTGGAACATTTGTCCCCTGTCTATCTTCAGGTGAATGGCAGATAACCAGTGATCAGTTTCTAAAATGCCATTTTAGGGATGTGTTTTCTGATGCACAATATAAAGTTTCTGCAGGTTTTGTGGTCAAAGGTGGAATGAAATGTATTTTAAAATGTTACCAAATAAGATGTGAGATATATGTACCTACTTTGGCTTTTTAAAAAGAATTTTTGGCAAGCAGAACCACTGGACAGCTCAAATTTATGCTCTCACAAGCTGATTATAAAACTTTGGTTCCTCTGGTTGGTGCCACACACAGAGAGGACCTCTGCAAGTAAATGACAACAACCTTTGCCCCTGATCTGAGCAAAGCCACTGGACAGCTGAGATCTGAGGTATTGCAGGGGAATCTCTTTGCAATACCTCAGCTCTCAGGGTCACATGCAAAATCTGCAAATGGAAGAACATCATAAATGTACCTTAATGTACAGCAGCAGGTTGCCCTGAAAGTGCTTTTAGCTTATGTGAAGGATGCAACTCTGAATGAAGGCAAGTCCTTAAAATCAATGTCCTCCTTTTCACGCCTTTCATTGTGGGGTCAAGTAGCTGCAGTTGAAGGTCAAGGATGAAGAACATGCAGCTGCAAATGTGCCATCGTCTACTCAGAAGGAAGTCCCAATTCACTTTGGTGCTGACACGCATGAGAGAGAGCTACGAATTTGATTTTTTTCCCCCAGGTGTGTTGATGGATGATTTGAAGAGATGCCGTGAGCCTTTACCAGGAGCACTTAGGAACCTTTTGTGGGTCAGGACATCTGAGCTACACACCGGGCTATTTTGAATCCTCGGCGTGCTCCCGGCCGAGCTAAATATAACTTTTCCTCTCAATCCCATCTCAATTCTGGGACAGCACGCACAGTAGGATTCTGGCAACACTCAGGAGCAGCTTTTGCCCGGCGCCAAGCTGGGACAGAGCTGGTCTCGAAGACCTATGGAGCGTACGTGATTGTCTCTCTGCACATGCCTCCAGCACCTCTTGCCCCCAATCAAAATGGCAGCCATGGATTTGGAACCACCAATAAAACTGATGCTAGCACCCAGGGTTTTTTAAGGATATGGCAAATGGCAAATTCCAAAATCCAAAATCCATATCAGACAATGGCATTCTTAGGCCAATCAAAGTGTCACAAAGGAGTGTGGAAGCTTTCAAGGCCAGGACAGTTCAGAGATGGCACCCCAAGCATGGTTTGTGCTAATCACAGTTTATAATCAAAGTACAAGCAAACTAAGGTTTACAGCTGCTTGCCTGCTTTTGTTTCCCAATATCTCAGAGCTCAAGCTGATGCATTTACTCTCATTTTGATTGTGCAGTGGTTTCTGGAGACAGGAAACTAGTAGTCACTCTGCTCTGTCAATTTGAACATCCCATTGAATCATACAGCACACAAACCATGGTTTCTCAGCCTTGCTCACCAGATTATCACAAAACATGGCTTGCCAATTCAAATGTCACAACCCAGCATAGTACAGGCCCATGGTTTGCAGACTTGTCAAACCATGGTTTCTGGCACCAGACACAAACCATGGTGATGCCTAGGACAAGCCTGGTCTGGAAACATACAAACCAATGGATTCTGGGGCTGAGGGCAAACCATGCTTTCTCAAATTAGTGTCATGCCTAGCTGCTGACCACAGTTAGATGTGACATTTGAATAGAATGAATTTCTACGTCTTTGTAACAGGAGAAATACTAGAGAATGAGGGTAGTCGGGGGCCGGAAACACAGCAGGCAGAAAATAAAATTTATTTGTCCAAAGGCAGATGTCTAGGCTTCTGCTATTTAAATCAGACCTGGCCAATCCAGATGCTCCATACGATTCACCAATCACAGAGGGTATAATCTCATGCAACCCCAGTAGCTCAGTAGTAACTCAATAGCAACCATTATGGTAGTAATGATTAGAGTGTCAGACTATGAGATCAGGGTTCAAATCTCCACTCAGCCATGAAGCTCACTGGATGTCACTGCTTCTCAGCCTAAACTACCTCACAGGGTGGTTCTGGGAATAAAATGGGGAGAACCATGTACACCACCTTGAGCTGGTTGGAGGATATAAATGCAATAAATAAATAACTCACTGAAACTGACTTTTAAGGTTGCCAGCTGACCATAAGGGTTTTTGGTTTTGGTTTAAATGGGCTGCTCCTCTGCCTTCAAGAACAGCTCAATCTGCAAAAATCTGTAGGTGGCACTTTGTGCAGCACAGTTGCACATCCTGCTGCTGCAGATGGGAACGATAGAAGGAAGCTTGGCAGTCCATCCACCCAGCCTTGGAACCACAGCATCCAGCTTGGAAATTATACAAATACCTTTTTTCTCTCCTGTGAAGGGCACCAGGTCTTCCCGCTCCTTCACTTCCATTGCCTGCTTCTCCAGGTGCTGCATGAGGGCGTCTCGATCCAATGGACCCGTCGGGCTCTTCTTGGTCTGGTCTCGTTGCCGGAAACCCGCCGGGAGCATCACATTCTGTGAGGCAGAGCAGAATGGGGGTGAGCGAGTTATACAACAGTGGCATTGTATCGCCCAGTACCGTAGGATAGGGCTTCTGGCTGCATCAGAACAAGGACTTTCAACCGGGCCATCAAAATTAACTCAACAGGTGAAGCTTCTGGCTTCGTTATATTTCCCTGTTAGGTATCATCTGTTCAATGTGCCTGCTCCCCTCTCCCACCTAACAACACTGGCAAGGGGAAATTGCTTGTGTGCTACTGGGGAGTGACATGACACGGCTACGACTTTTAAACTTTCCGTGCTCTTGTTCATCACCACAAAACTTGCCCTTGGGGTTGTGAGGGAGGGATTTGTAGGGGTGGGCAGAAACAATTCCTGGGAAAATAGCATCCTAAAGTTCCTTCCACGCCTACTGCCTAGATGTGTGACTATTTCCTAATTTGAACGTATGACAATGATAATTGATAATATTCGGTCTCGATACCCATACCCTCTTGATTCCCGAGGAAACGTTCCTAAGCCGAATGTACATTGCAAAAATCCAAATTGGTATTCTCCTAAACTCGATTCCACCCTGCAGCCTTACCCCTTTAATGTTAGAGTTATAGGCTCAATGGCAGAGCAGAGAGATAGGGAGGAAGAAGCCACCCAAAAAAATCAGCATGGCTAATCTTTGCAAGATACTTCGCAATTGTGTATTTAAAATGGGTGCATTTGAGGACCTTTAAAAAATGCTATAATAAAAAGTTATCACCAAGACTTAAAAGTTGAAACTTTAAGCAAACTCATTCTCTGAGGGTTGATCTTTATCATCCATGCACAGGGATCAGCAGGCTTGGGAGAACCCCTAAATTTGAAGAAACACTATGCCTCTCTCTTTAGAGGAGGAAAACCTGAAGGAATCCCCCTCCCCAAAGTAGTCTAGACTATGCAGGGCATGCACAGTGGTCACAGATTGCCTCTGATGTCAGGGCACAAAAGTGGAAAGTGGAAGGTGTGAGGAATGGCGTGCCCTGGAAAGGGCTGGCAGGATCTGTCAATTTTGGTTCTTTCAGTTTCACATTTCCCCCCAATCTTAGATTCAGTTATCCACATTTTGCAGTAATTTGTAATTATAAAAAAAAAATCCTCATGAAAATTCATCATCGTTTAGTGCGAATTTCTCATAACAAACACATTTTTATAAGCTGTTTTTAATACCGTACGTTTGTTGCAGTCTCACTTGTTGCCCCTAAGGAAAATTAAGTTCCAACATCTTCACATTCAAGAGGGCTGTGAATTTTAACCCATGAAAATCTTTAATAAAAATTATAAAAGAAGGCAGCTATTAATGTTTTGATTCAGCACCAGAGGGTTTGATTCAAAAATCATCTGGATAGGTGAATCTGCTGGTTTTGGTTGCTTTCATTTTATCAGTCTTAAATTCAGTTCTCCATATTAGCTTGAATTTTTTTTTTAAACCCTCGCAAAAATTCATCAACATTTTAGTGTGAATTTATTTCAGAATACACATTTTAAAGCATTTTTGCATTGTGCACATACTTTTGTGAGCAAATTTCTGTAACATAATGCATTTTTGTACGTCTGTTTCCCTAATGTATACATTTAGAGGAACATTTTACCCTGTCAAATGCATTTTGTTGCACACATTACTTAGCTGGAGAACTGCATTGCAAAATTAGGAGAAGTGAAATTTCAAACAATATTTGCAAAAAGTGCAAATTAAGTAAGTTTGTCTTTTAATTGTGAATGAGACTGAATTTCTCCCCATCCCTAAAATCATGTCTAGGCAGTTGTATTTCCATTTCCCTCAAAAACCTAAAATTAAATCTAGAATCTTCAAGAATCCCACCCTCTATCCCAAATCGTCACCCCCCTCTATCTCACTTCAGGGTCCATTTCCTGAAGCTCTACGTCAAGTTGAGCCAGCTCCTCCGCAGATAGTTCATTCAAGATCTTATCTTCATCAATGTCTCGATATTTCTCCAGTTCTTTCTGGTATGAAGTCGTCATGGTTGCTGCAGTTTATGCAAAGGTGTTGTCTCTCCTGTGATGTAGAATGAGGAGGATGAAGCTGGATTTAGGGGGATAGAAAGAAGTCTCAGTGAGTAACTAGGAGGCAACTCTAAAAGATCCAGTGTAAAGTCAGGCACAGGACAACATGGAACACTGAGGAAAAAACCAATGGAACTCCTTGCCTCTTGATTTTTCTGCCTGGTCAGCTAAGTTGGTTTCTGGGACCTCTTACCACTATAAATTAGTGGTAGTATTGGGGCTGGCACCTGATTAAAGAAAACATAGTTAATTAACCCTATGAGTGTCAATTGATTACTATTTAATTACTTGATTCTTCCAGATATTTCTAGAGCAGGGGCACTTGGATCTGTTTCAACATAATATGTTCCAAGTTTGAGTCCTCCTGACTTGGGGACACACACACACACCAACGAAGCTAAACCCAAATGTTAATTCAACCATGGTGCTTGTGACTTGAGTTTCTTTGAAGAGCAGGGTCTCCTGCTAAGTTTATATCTTCTTGAAACACTCAGCATCCAATTTTGGTGTGTGTGCTTGTTTAATTCAAATCAGGTCACATTTCAGTCTATGGCCTTAATTGAACGATCCAGACGAATAGATCAATGCAGGCATTTACGGCCACATCAGAGTGTTCAACAACCAAACAAGCTTACCCGTTCACCCAAAAGAAAATGACTGGTATTTCGCACTGTACTTTAATTTTCTGTCCTGCCTAAAGGGCAGCGCTCCGTTTGCCAGAAGCTTGTGCATTGGCGGGGGGGGGGGGGGAGGTGTTGAATGAGTCCCCCAAAACAGCTGTTTTAAGCCACCCCATTCAGCTGATTGTCAGGACCTGGTTCTCAAAGGCTGAGGGTTTTAAAGCAATGCTGAGGAATCTGGTGTCTTCCAGGTGTTGCTCCCAGCAACCAGCACAGCCAGTGTTCAGGGATGATGGCACTTATAAGTCCATCATCATATGGAGGGCCACAGGCTCCCCTTCCCTGGGTTTAAGGTATAAGCCCCCCAAGGGACTGTACCACTTCAGAATGCAAATACAAGATGGAATGGGTGCCCCTGTGCCCTATCTCAAAAGTGCCACAGAAAACAAGAAGGAAGAACTTCCCTTGGGAGGTGGTGGACTCTCCTTCCTTGGAGGTTTCTAAACAGAGGTTGGATGGTCATCTGTCAGGGGTTCTTTAGCTGTGATACCTGCATTGCAGGGGGTTGGGCTAGATGACCCACAGGGTCCCTTTCAACTCTACCATTTATAATTCTAAGACCAGGCTGATTCTTTAACATGGCTGGGATTTGGGGCATGTGGGGAGAGGACACCCTGTTGTGTGCTGTCTGAAGTCGTATCCTCTCTGGAGGGCTGCGCCACGCAATGTTTTTAAATATGTAAAATCATTCACATATGTCTGCACGCACACTCTGTGTCTCTTAGCTATGCATTTGGACACTTCTCAAGATATCATAACCAAATTTTGTGCGGTGGCTCCTGAGATCAACAGCACGTTTCTGTCTATGTTTGGGTACTGTTGGGTGCCATTTTGGGCGTCAAATGAACCTTTCAAAACTACGCTGATTTTTTAACACAGGTCTCAAAATCGGTTTCCTAGAATTCCCGAGGAACCCCAAGCTAGAAACCTGCTATATCAGATTAAATGACAGATGCAGGAAGGCTCTGAAGCCTAATGATGGAGAAATCAGATGGAGAGATAAAACTGTTTCCAAACTGTCCCATTCCCATATTTACTCTGTCTGCTTATCACTCTCTTACAAGGCATTTGGGGAGTGCTCCAGGAAAATGCGCTCAATCTGGCTCTTGCTCTCTTCCCCTTCCTCCTTCATTTGTCTCACTTTCTCTGTCACAAAATGGACCCAACTCACCACACAGGGCTGTTGTATAGGACTAAATGAATGCAAAGGAACCACTCTGAAGTCTGATACACATGGTTTAAATGGTTTTTTTTTGAGCTGGGGTGTGTGTTTTTAATTCTGTGGTTCTCTTTTTAACCTTTTTATCTAGTTCAAGGACCCAGGGGCGCAATGGGTCAATGCGTCTGGCTGATAACCAGAAGGCTGGTGGTTCGAGCCCACCCAAGGACAGCTGTGGCCAGAATTCATGCACTGCAGGAATTTCAACACTATAATTCTGTGATTCGACGTTTTCTTCATCTTTTTAAGAACCTAGGAAGCTGCTTTATCCTGAGCCGAACCCCCAGTCCATCCAGCTTGGTATTGTCAACACTGACTGGCAGCAGCTCTCTAGGATGCCAGGCAGCTTTCTCTCCCAGCCCTACCTGTAGATGGCAGGGCTTGAACCTCAGACCTTCTGCATGCAAAGCAGGTGTTCTGACCACTGAGCTGAGGCCCTCCCTTATACCAGATGGACTCCCTGCTTTTTCTAGTACCTTTCAGATACAGTGGTACCTCAGGTTAAGTACTTAATTCATTCCGGAGGTCCGTACTTAACCTGAAACTGTTCTTAACCTGAAGCGTATGTAACCTGAGGTACCACTGTAATGTCTTCCTATTTTCCAACCTACTTCTTTGATCAGACTCTTCTCTCCCTTCCTCTCCTCCTCACTTTCCCCCAAAAGATAAGAAGCTTTCTGAATCAGGAGTCCTGGAATCAAAGAGTTCTTGTGTGCTCTCAGAATTCAACCTCCGGGCAAAAGAGGAGGAGGTCTGTCTGAGCAGATATAAGGGGTGACAAACTCAGCCGGCCCTCTTCTGGGAAGATCTAAACTAAATAGGTTTGTTTGTTTTCCCCAAGATGTCTTAAACTATGGTCAAACTATGGTCAAATGTTCATAGAATCATAGAATGGTAGAGATGGAAGAGATACCCAAGGATCATCTAGTCCAGCGGTTCTCAACCTGTGGGTCTCCAGATGTTGTTGGACTACAACTCCCATCATCCCTGAGCTCTGGCCTTGCTAGCTAGGGATGATAGGAGTTGTAGTTCAACAACATCTGGGGACCCACAGGTCGAGAAAGGCTGATCTAGTCCAGGAATGTTCCTGGATGATAACTACCCTCCTCCTCCCTGGCTCTTGGGAACGCTGGGGCTGATAGGAGTTGCCATTCAGTGAAACACCTGGAGGGGAGGGCCAAATCTTCCCCACACCTGCTGTAACGGTTGCCATACAGGTGGACATTCAGCTGGTGAAGCGTCCCACCTGTCAGGGTAAAAAGAATGCCCTGACAGGCCTCCGGCAGACAGAGAAACCATAGCAGAGAAACAACAGTGGCAAGTTTAGTGAGCATAAATCAGGCATCCCCAAACTCAGTCCTCCAGATGCTTTGGGACTACAACTCCCATCACCCCTAGCTAACAGGACCAGTGGGTCAGGGATGATGGGAATTGTAGTCCCAAAACATCTGGAAGGCCGAATTTGGGGGTGCCTGGCATAAATGAACGTCCACAGGGGCACATCTTTCCATGCTGAAATATGTTGTTGGTGGCGTCAGCCACCTTTAGATGACTCCCATATTCTTTTCTTGGTCAATCAAGTGTTTTGGTTCAATATCTGCATATTTCCTGCCACCATTTTGGAGGAGATTAAGCTCCTACTTTGCATTGCCAAAAATAAATAAATAAATGTCGGCCATGTCATATTCCGTTTGATTGACAGAAGAAAGATGAAGGAGGCTACATTTTTTTCTTTCTCTTTTAAATCCACACTAGACAATTTTTAGGGACGCGGGTGGCGCTGTGGGTAAATCCTCAGCGCCTAGGACTTGCCGATTGCATGGTCAGCGGTTCGAATCCCCGTGGCGGGGTGCGCTCCCGCCGTTCGGTCCCAGCGCCTGCCCACCTAGCAGTTCGAAAGCACCCCTAAGTGCAAGTAGATAAATAGGTACCGCTTTATAGCGGGAAGGTAAACGGTGTTCCGTGTGTGCTGCGCTGGTGTTGGCCGGCCAGATGCAGCTTGTCACGCTGGCCACGTGACCCGGAAGTGTCTCCGGACAGCGCTGGCTCCTGGTCTATAGAGTGAGATGAGCGCACAACCCTAGAGTCTGGCAAGACTGGCCCATACGGGCAGGGGTACCTTTACCTTTACCTTTAGACAATTTTTACCTCCTCCCACCAAGTGGTACTCTAGACGTCTGCCCTAAAGTCTTACTCTGACAGCGCCGCAGAGAACGTGCCCATCAAGACTGCTTTGTCTCTGACAGGGGCCAAACAAATGCCGCTGGGAAGCTTCGTCTTTCCCAGATTCACCTGAGCCAACATCCCATTGCCACACGCCAGGTTTAGACATAAGAATGTGAGACGGGCCAAGCTGCTTCATCTAATCCAGCCTCGTCCCTCAGCCCAGCAGCACAAAGCAGGTAGGAAAGAGCCTTTTCCTTTGTTTGCTCTCCAGAATCTGGTGCTCTCTTAGGCGGACTGGCCCTGAAAGACCCATTCCAGCCATCGGGACTTACAACCCTCGATAGGCCTCTGAATTTGTCTCATCCCGTTTTTAAAGCCGGTTTAAGTCAGCACCCATCACCTCCACATCTTGTGGCGGTGAGTTCTGCACATCAGTTTCACCCAGCCACCCCATATTCTAGTATTATGCAATGCTGGAAGGTGGTGGGCTCTCCTTCCTTGGAGGTTTTCAAGCGGATGTTGGAATGGCCATTTGACAGGAATACTTTAGTCGTGGTTCCTGCATTTCAGGGGATTGGACTGGATGACCTTTGGGAACCCCTTCCAACTCTACATCTCTATGATTCATTAAGCAGACAGACTCTTGGTTTCCCCTGTCTCCACACTGCTCGTGATTTAATAGATCTCTATGCGGACTCTTCTTAGGGTTTTTTCTTTTTCCTCCTCCTCCTCCTCCCCTCCACCTCTAATCTAAAACGTACCCAAGGAAGGAAGATTTTACATCCATAACAAAAACAAACACAGAGAGAGAAGCCAGTTCTCTTTTGACACCCTCTTGCTCCCATCCTGGGTCTGGAGATCTGCCCTGCCAGGTGGTCTAGCATTGTGCGAGGGTTAATTAACAGGGAGGAGGGGGCTTAGCTGGACTTCCGAGTAGGAAGCAAGGACACAGCGACCCGGAGCCCTCCGGGAAACCTGCCACACCATCTCTGCATTCAGTGTGGCGCTAGAGTCACTCCCTTCAGTGCCTGTGAATAATACTAGGCTCTGGGATTTACAAGCGGGGAGACTTGCTGCTGCTGTGCTCGGGTGCTGCTTGTGGGCTTCCTATTCGGGGCATCTGATTGGCCACTGTGGAAACAGGATGCTGGACTAGACGGGCCCCCATTGGCCTGGTCCAGCAGCCAGGCTATTTTGATGTCCTAATAGAACCTCCAGGTCCAGAGGCAGTCTATCTAGATCCATAAGTTCATTGGGTGTTTGGCCACAGACACTGGAGTGGATGGGCCCCCCTTTGGCCCTTGGGGCCCCTTACAATTCTACGGTTCCATTATTCTACGCATTGCCTCTAATGTGGTCCTAATGCGGACACTGAGTGTGCAGGAGCCCTTTGCAAAGTTTAAATGACTTTCCTGAGCTACAGCCCCTTATGCTTGCAGAGATCCCTTTCCAAATCCCCAAGACTCTGCCTTTTGACCCCAAATCTTCTTTGTTTAAAAAATTGCCCTGAGTGTTTCTGAACTGGTAATGAACTTGGGGAGAAATGGTGATCTGGGTAGGATATTAACTGGAGGGGAGAAACAGATTAATTTAAGAGTATTAATTATTATTTATTTATTTATATCCCCCTACCCCTTTTCCCAAGCCGGGGCTCAAGGCGGCTCACACAAGTTAAAAGAGTACAGATAAAATGCAGAAGGCTAAAAACGTATTAAAAATAATAGTTAAAAGGTTGTTACGCTCTAATAGAATTAAAAACAAAGTAAAAACAAAACTGTTTAAATGTAGGCAGTAAAAATAGCGCAGCCCTTTCCTTAAAAAAAACCAAAAACCACACACGTGCAATCACTCCCCCAAGTCTACCTGCCAGCAGAAGGACAACAAGGAGGGAGCCAGTCTGGTTTATCCAGGGAAAGAGTTCCAAAGTTGTCTGGGAGGAGCCACCACCGAGAAGGCCCTCTCTTGTGTCCCCACCGAGCGTGCCTGTGAGGGTGCTGGAACTGAGAGAAAGGCCTCTCCTGAAGATTTTAAACCCCCAGGCAGGTTTGTATGTGAGGATACAGTCCTTCAGATAGCCTGGGCCTAAGCTGTATAACTTTACCTAGAGATGATTTGAGAGATTGGGGGATTGGGGAGGAGGGCAACTGAATGGCAGTTGAATCAGCTGGGAACAGAAGTGTTGGGAGACGGCAGATGAATATGGGGTGGGGTGGTGGCATTAAATGAAAAATTAATCAGTGGGGCAATTTGGATGGGAAGTGAATGGCTTGCAAAGTCTGTATCCTCTGAAGTCTAAATTTTAATCTATGCACGTTCGTTAGTGTGTGCAAATTTTATGCAGCTTTGGATAGGAGTGATGGGTCTCCTGCTCTAGAGATCTTTTAAGTATCTAAGAATACAGTGGTACCTCAGGTTAAGTACTTAATTCGTTCCAGAGGTCCATTCTTAACCTGAAACTGTCCTTAACCTGAAGCACCACTTTAGCTAATGGGGCCTCCCGCTGCTGCCGCGCCACCAGAGCACGATTTCTGTTCTCATCGTGAAGCAAAGTTCTTAACCTGAAGCACTATTTCTGGGTTAGCGGAGTCTGTAACCTGAAGCGTATGTAACCTGAGGTACCACTGTTCTCTGGCTTTATGTCTGCAATCCCCTCCCTGAAACACGGTGCAGTTTCCACCTCCACCCCTCCTTCCATTCCCCCAGTCAACCCCTGCCTTATCCCAGGTCAGATGCTTGGGTCTATCTAACGCGATGTTGTCTGCTCTGATTGGCAGCAACTCTCCAGGCTTTCAGAGGGTCCTGAAATTCCCTGTCCTATCTATTTATTTTTACTAAGTTATTTATTGCATTTCTACCCCCCCCTTTTCCTCCAAGGAGCTCAAGGCGGCGTACACAATTCTCCTCCTCTTCCTCATCTGATCCTCACAACAACCCTGTGAGGAGGGTTAGGCTGGGAGGCAGTGACTGGCCCAAGGTCACCCAGTGAGCTCCATAGCTGAGTGGCGGGATTTGAACCCTGCTCTCTCCCAGGTCCTAGTCTACCACTTTAACCACTACACCACCACTGGCCCTCCTACCTGAAGATGCTATTGGGGATTGAACCTGGAACCTTCTGCAGGCAAAGCAGGTGTTCTGCCCCTCAGATACAACCCTTCCATTAAGATTCTAGTTGTCATAGGTAAAGGGACCCCTGACCATTAGATCCAGTCGTGGCCGACTCTGGGGTTTGCAGCGCTCATCTCAGTTTATTGGCTGAGGGAGCCGGCGTACAGCTTCCAGGGTCATGTGGCCAGCATGACTAAGCCGCTTCTGGAGAACCAGAGCAGCGCACGGAAACGCCGTTTACCTTCCTGCCAGAGCGGTACCTATTTATCTACTTGCACTTGACGTGCTTTCGAACTGCTAGGTTGGCAGGAGCAGGGACCGAGCAACGGGAGCTCACCCCGTCGCGGGGATTCGAACCGCCGACCTTCTGATCGGCAAGTCCTAGGCTCTGTGGTTTAACCCACAGCGCCACCCGCATCCCTCTAGTCGTCATAGTTCTCAGTAAAGGGCCAATTTGAAATGAAACCAAGGAAGCTGCCTTATACTGAGTCTGGTCACTAGGGTCTGTCTAGCGTGGTGTTGTTTGCTCTGACTGGCAGCAGCTCGCCAGAGTTTTAGGCAGCCCTAACTGAAGGTGTCGGAAATTGAACCATGGACCTTCTGCTTTCAAGGCAAGTGCTCCATGCCTGAGCTGCGTCTTTTTCCCTGCGTGATCCCCACCTTCTCTGCAGCCATAACTTGGCCCTCGGCCTCATTTCCCAGGCAGACAACTGAGCTTGCCAAAAGCCCTCCCTCCTTTGCCCAGATCTCTCTCTCTCCCTTCTTGGCTTCCAGAACCTTTAAGGCTGTGAGATGCTCAGGGTGGGGCCACTATCCGTAACAATTATCTTTTCCTTTTTTTTTTTTTTTGCTATGTCACTCTGCCTAGCGCTGCCTCCATCGACGGCGTCATAAAAAGGGTAATAGCTGTCCAGTTTCACACCATTTGAGAGACAGTGGCTGTGTACAGTTAAAGCATACCCCCCCCTCGAAGAATCCCGGGAACTGTAGTTCGCCCTTGAGCCGAGCTGCAAGTCTCAGCGCCTGCAAACTAGAGTTCCCAAAATTATTTAAATGCAGCTTGCCTTGGGGAAGGTTCCAGGATGGTTCAAATCTGTTTTGAAGATTTGATGCCACTTTTGAGTCTGAATTCAATCGCTTGGGGATCTCCTTTGAACCACCTATACTTCCTTCGTCTGGATTAGAGGATCCACCTGTTTCTAACCTCGCCATCAAGGCTTAAAACATGACTTAAGCTCTCCCCCACCTTCACCCCACAGATCTATTTCCTCGCAAGCCCTCCTCCTCTCTTCCAAATCTTCAGTTAGCAAGAGACAACTGCGTTTTGTGATGCCCACACACACCCCTCCCACCAGACATGGGGTGGGGCCTGCTCTACACTTTTGCAGCAGGAGGAAGTGGTAGAGTCCTTGCAGAGCAGCCTGCGCCACTTCAGGCTGCAGGTGGAGAGTTGGAAGGACCCTGCCTGGATCCCCTTGAAAGTGAACCAAAATCCTTTCTGAGGGATTTCAGTGACGTTCTGCCAACTTCCAGCTTTGTTGTGGTACAGTCTCTTCAGGTTTGAGGGCAAGCCCAGCGGTGGGGACACCCCACCCCAGGCTCTGACCCTTTCTAACTGGTCACCTAGTGAGCTACTTGCACAGAAATTCATTTTGTCTGATTTTACAGGACACACACAGACATTTGCAGGGGGCGTTGCCTGTGCACACGGCAAAACGGTACAGTCCTCGCTGATCCCATGCCTGGATTCTACCGCCTTATCTGTTGCGTGTGCCTACCGGGCCTGAGTGTGTCCGGGTGTATAGAAGAGCTGTTCAGTTATCCTTCAGCAACACTCTCCACCCCACAAGGACTCAGCCCATACATAGCCGGCGACTTCCCCTGCCTTTGCCTGGCGTACAATTTTCTCGCCACCCGCTTGCCGCCTCTTAAATTCCCACGAAGCCGAGGAGGGGGGAAAGGGGGGGAAAGGGACCCAGACTTACCTCCCAGGCAGGCTGTGTCGGCCTCTGCCTTTTGTCTCCCCCACCCCGAGCGGTGTGAACCTAGCGGGCAGGGCAAACGGGGAGAGAGCGAGAGAGCGGCAAGCCCAGGAACTGTGTGAGATCAGCATTTTATTATTTTAGCTTTCCAGCCGGGCAGGCGGGCGGGGTGAGGAGCGCAAGAGCGAGAGATCACATATACAGACTCCGTTATCAATCACTCCGCAGACCTGCCGAGCGGCCGAGTCAAGACCTCCAGCGGCCACAGCTGAGAAGTGCCAAGCCGAAGGACCGGTTCAGCCGGGAAGATGCTGCTGGTGCTTCTGTTTTGTTTCATTTCAAGCCTAGCCTCCACTACAGCTGGACTACTGCAGTGTGCTCTGTGTGGGGCTGCCCTTAGAGCTGGTTCAGAAGCTCCAGCTGGGTCAGAACGTGGAGGCCAGACTCATGATGGGGAAATCTGGATGGCAGCATGTGGCACCGCTGTTAAAACATCTGTACCAGCTGCCATCTACTACCCAGCTGCGTTCAAGGTCTTCATATTAATTTTTGAAGCCCTGAAACTGCTTAGGCATGGGTAGGCAAACTAAGGTCCAGGGGCCAGATCCAGCCCAATTGCCTTCTGAATCCAGCCCTGCGGACGGTCCAGGAGTCAGTATGCTTTTACATGAGTAGAATGTGTCTTTTATTTAAAATGCATCTCTGGGTTATTTGAAGGGCATAGGAATTCATTCATTTCCCCCCCAAAATACAGTCCGGCCCCCACAAGGTCTGCTGAAAAAGTTCGCTGACCCCTGTGTTTAGGTCTCAGGGACCGCCTGAACTCTTATATCTCAGCTCAGTCACTGAGATCATCTGCAGGAGCAGCATTGGTGAGATGAGGCTCAGATGACAAGAAGAAACACTTTAGTGCCATCAGGCCCAGTCCTGTGGAACTCTCTGCCACTGGAGATTCAGCAGGCGCCTTCCTGTTTTTAAACACCTGCTGGAAACTTTTATAGTCTGCCCTCTCTATGCAAGCAATTAAGAAGACATCCTTGCACAATTGTTAACTGTTTGTTTTTAAGTTTTTAAATGGTTTTATTGTATGGTTTTATCGCTGCAACCCCTTTGATACATTGATATGTTTTATGACAGAGGTTTACAGATATTTAAGAAAAAATACGAGAAATTTGTGGTGTAGAAATGAGTAACATAATTATCATGCTACCTCACAGATTCAGCCCTCCGCTTTCCAGGATCCACAGAGTTGCCTCCCTCGCCCCTTCTGTCTTTTTTTCTTTTAGACAGTTGGTTGTGTGCAAATAGAAACAAAAGCTTAGCCTGCTGAGATAGTGAACTGGTTGGGGGAAACTCGTCTTCCCTCTGCAAAAGACACAAATTCTCTGCTATCTGACGCAGAGAGGGAAGATGCAAAAGGAACCGCAGCCTTCTACACAACGGCTTCTGGTGAAGAATATCCCCAAGATGTCATGGGCTGAACCTGAGACCTTCTGAATGCAGAGCAAATGTTCTATCCACTGAGCCAAACCCCTTCCCCTAAAAGCAAAGTAAAATTACCGTCCACATGGTTCTGAACAAAGGGCTGTTTTTAAATAAGAAACCTGGGAAGCTTCTTCATACCTAGCCAGACACTTGGGTCCATCCAGCTCAGCATTGCCTGCGCTGACTGGCAGCCGCTCTCCAGGGTTTTGCACCAGGAGCCTTCCCCAGCCCTACCCAGATGTGCTAGGGATCAGACCTGGGACCTTCTGCATGCCAAGCAAATGCTCGACCACCGAGGCACAGCTGCTCTGCGACTAAGAAAAAAAGCACTCTGCTCACGTTCAGAGGGATAAACGCTCCTTGCGCATCCTGAAGGCTCCTTCACTGGCTCGAATTAACCCACAGCTTTTATACCTCTGGAAGCTCCTCTGTGGGTATCGGGAAGAGAAGGGAATCCCCATGGCTGGTAATGGTCGCTCAGATAGGCATGAAAGGCTGCATTTTGGCCTACGATAGGAATCGTGGTGGTACCTGGTGTGGTGTCGCCCCCTGGTGGACAATCAAAGCAGAGCAGATGAAGGCAGCCACTAAGTGATTGGGGGGGGACACACCTGTACCCCTCCAGAAGTTCATAGAATCAGAGTTGGAAGGGAGCACGAGGGTCATCTAGTCCAACCCCCTGCAATGCAGAAATCTTTTTTGCCCAACATGGAGCTTGAACCCACAACCCTGAGATTAAGAGTCTCATGCTCTACTGACTGAAATACCCCAGGCTTTACTGTGACGCAGTAGCATGAGTCATAGGACCAAGCCGAGGACCAGCAAGACCTGGGTTCAAACTGGTCAGGGAGTTGCAGTTCGGCAACATCAGCCTTAAAACCGAGGAAGGCAACAGACAAGGATGAAGACGTCACATTAAAACCATTTATTTTCAGAGAAATGTTCTACAGGTTGTTGAAACTGTTAAAAAAAATGATAGTATTTTTTTAGTTAATAAAAAAATCCACGACTTTGTCCCGCTAACAGCTCTTGTTCACTGGCTGCAGACTCATGTTCCCACATGCCTGTGTCCTGCTCAGACGCTCAGCCTCTGTTTGACCATCCAGTCAGACTTGAATCATTTTTCTTCGACCCAACAAAAATAGCTTTCCCTCCCCCAATTTGCAAAGGAAAACAACCTTCTGGCCCTCGTGGAAAGGCCTCCACAAAACCTTCCCCTCTCCTGCAGCAGGCATGGGCCTCAGTTGGTCAGGTGTCCACCCTTTGACCCGCAAGGCGCCTGAGTTCATAAGCAACGGCGGAGAAGGATGCAGCTACAAAGGAAATACAGGCTGCTCCTCTGAAAGGGCTCTCTGATAGCAAGCCCCGCTGCAATCGGCTGCGCTTACGAGTTTCCCAATGGGAACTCCCCAGCGAAGCTGAACAGGGACTTAACACCAGTGGCAACACACAAAGGTGGCCCCACTGGGACGCAGACCTGTTCTATGGCTTGCTGGATGCGTAACGGCCACCGTTTGGACAGGCAGCCAAAACAAATTAGCTAGGAATAGTGGGCGCTTTTCGACCTGTGAGCAGTCAATAGAAGTTTGGCATCGACCTTTGTGCCAAAAATGTGGGGCGATGGTGGTTGGTTTTTTTAAAGGAGACATTTTGATTAAAATGCCTTGGTTGCCTGGTCTGAGAGCCTTGCCCAAATCCCATTGCCGGGTTTATCTTTGAAACCTGGGATGGGAAACCTGTGGCGCTTCAGCTGCTGTTTGGACTCTCCTTTGCCCCAGTCAACCCGGCCAATGGTCAGGCTCCCTTCTATGTGCTGTTCCTGAGGCAGAAACAATGGCAAGCATTCAACACCCATCTTTTTAAGCAGGCATTTCTGTTTATATTAGTTATTGATATTTAAAGGAATGTTTCATTGATGGCTTCTCCATTTTTTACTGATACATTTCTTTGTATTTTTGGTTTTAAATGCTGTATATGCATTTTTTCTCTCTGAATTAACGTACTGTGTAAGCTACTCATGGATTTTGCATCATAAGCTGTCTATAAACATTACTGGTGGTAGTATGATAAGAACGGATCGCAAACACAGAGGCAATCAAATCAGGCATTTCAACACGAGGCCGTTGTGGTGCAAATAAAATTGGAGGTGGTTAGCAGCTGATTTGTGAATCTCGGGGAAAATCTGGCTTGCCAAACGCCGGAAACAAGACGGTCTCTTGCCGACAGACGTTCTGAAAATGACTACATTACTGGAAAAGGAATTATGACCAGAGATTATCTTTGTTCTAATGGTTTTTGAACAGAAGGGAGCAGAACAAAACTGGAAGATTTGAGAAACTCTTACAATGACCTTATAACCAGGCTCTGTTTCTCCCTTGAAGGCCAGTTCTTACTTCCATGCCTATTTATTTTCTCGTGTTTGCTGTAATAATAGAAACAGCTGTTTTGCGGAAACAGGGACGGGGAGTCAGCAAGGAAGGTCCCATGCCCTACGTATTCGGAACGCTTTGCTTGATGATGATCTTCTGTCTGGTGGCTCGGACATTGGAGTCGGCCATGGGAGGCCCTGCCCCGAGGGCGGCTGCGGCAGCGTTGGGCAGGCCATGGGCTGTGATGTACTTCTTGTAGGCCTCGCGGATGATCTTGAAGGCCCGTATGTTGGAGTACGGGATGTCGGTGATGGGGTCGCGGTAGATGGCGGCCTTGTGGGTGACGGGGCAGACCTCCTTCACAGGCAGCTTGGGGGCCCGAGACTTCGGGAAGACGCGCTCGAAAGTCTCGTCGTCGCTGAAAGTGATGAAGGTCCGCGAACATTTGGCGGCCGAGGCGGAAGCTGCTGGCGGGGCCTCCAGGGGTGGGGGCTGCATGTCCTGGTCCAAACTGAAGCGGGCAGGGAAAGGGGGTCCCGTGTTATTTGTAATTTCACAAAATGTATACATCACCTGAATATTTTTTGGGGGGGGAGCCTCTAAGAGCTTCACAAAAAAAACAATCTACAAACATTTAAGATGTACGAAAAGTTAAGATAAAAACCAATTCAAACTGGCACCAACTTTCTGACTAGGCTTGACTGAAGAAAAACGTTTTTAGCAGGTGCCGAAAAGAGCACAGTGAAGGCACCTGCCTGACGTCAATAGGCAGGGAGTTCTGAAGTGTAGGTGCTGCCGCACTAAAAGATCAAGTTCTTGCAAATGCAGGATGGGTATTATGTGGCCCCTCTTAGTCCTGCTCAAAGTAGCCCCACTGAAGTGAATGGACATGGAGTTGTATTCAACTAAGTCCTAGTGAGGCAGGCTAGTAGTCCATTTATCTCAGTACAGTGGTACCTCAGGTTACAGACGCTTCAGGTTACAGAAATATTACCTCGGGTTAAGAACTTTGCTTCAGGATGAGAACAGAAATCGTGCTCTGGCGGCACGGCGGCAGCAGGAGCTAAAGTGGTGCTTCAGGTTAAGAACAGTTTCAGGTTAAGAACGGACCTCCGGAACGAATTAAGTACTTAACCTGAGGTACCACTGCACTGTCTACACTGACTGGCAGCAGCAGTCCAGACAAGGGGCACTGGAGATGCCATGGACCGAACCTGGGACCTTTTGCATGGAAAGCAGATGCTCTACCACTGAGCTATAGCCCTTCCACTTAAAGTGTAGTAAGATTCTAGTCCTCATTGCTCCGAATGAAGGGCTGGTTTTAAATAGGAACCTAGGAAGCTGTTTCATACCCAGCCAGACCCTTGGTCCACCTAGAACCATGTTGTTTACACTGACTGGCAGAAGCTCTTGGAGGTCTCAGAGAAGAGTCTTTTCCATCCCTGCCTGGTGATGCCAGAGATTGGATCTGGGATCTTCTGAATGCAAAGCAGACGCTCCAATTCTGAGCTAGAGCCCTTCCCTTAAATGCCTGAAGGACAGGTGAATGATCTCCCATTCTACCAGTTGTGGGCACCCAGCGAGAAGGAAAAGAAAATCTGCACATGCTCAGAGGCACAGTAGTATTCCAGGCTTCAGTGGTGAAGGTAGATAATGGGTAGAGAGGCCCAACTGAAAATATTAATCGAGCCTCTCTGCCTGTACGCTAGTTTAAGCAATGCATATCCGCCATAAAATTTAGAGTGTGTTCTTAGTTTGCAGGTTGCAGAAATGCAGGTCTCTAAAGGACTGGACGTACAATTGGCCTGGATATAGAATTGAACCCAAGGCTGTGAATAACCACTTGCCTAGTCGCTTTTGGTGAGTGGAATCCCCACCAGGCGACCGGGCAGTTTCTGTAAACTAGGGGACAAAGTGAGCTTTCTCGTTTCCTTTTTTAGGCCGACAATGCTCCCAGATTCAAAATATGCCTAGAAAGGCAAGCCACACCTGATGAAATTCTTAAAGACTAGGAACTTGGGCCTACTGCTTCACACATCCAGTTTGCTCCATCCGGGGGCAAGAAGGAAACCCTTACCCCTCAACGTCCACATTCTCTTCCTTGAAGCCGAGGTCAGAGACGAGGGGCATGGTCCCTGAGTAGTAGCGGATGGTGGGCCCCACACATTTCCTCTTCTTCTGCACCTGCCTCTTCTTGTCTGCTTCCAAGCGCTCGTACGTCTCTGCACAGAAGAAAGGAAGCCAAGCTCCTGACAACCCCAAACTTTTGACATAAGGTGCATCCGCTCCTGGATAATTCTTATGGACTAGTAACTTTGCTAGGGGGGTGCGGGTGGCGCTGTGGGTTAAACAACAGAGCCTAGGGCTTGCCAATCAGAAGGTCGGCGGTTTGAATCCCCGTGACGGGGTGAGCTCCCGTTGCTCGGTCCCAGCTCCTGCCAACCTAGCAGTTCGAAAGCACGTCAAAGTGCAAGTAGATAAATAGGTACCGCTCCGGCGGGAAGGTAAACAGCATTTCCGTGCGCTGCTCTGGTTCGCCAGAAGCGGCTTAGTCATGCTGGCCACATGACCTGGAAGCTGTACGCCGGCTCCCTTGGCCAATAAAGCGAGATGAGTGCCGCAACCCCAGAGTCGGCCACGACTGGACCGAATGGTCAGGGGTCCCTTTACCTTTACTTTAGTAACTTTGCTATACCGCAGGACCTGACTCACCCAAAGAGCGCAGGTTGAGCTCCTCTGTGATCTTGGCCTCTTCCAGCAGTTCCTCCTGGGTCAGGGGCCGGTCGTAGCTGGGGACCGCCCCCTTTTTGCGTTTCGACTGCACCTGGCGCTCCTGCAGGCGCAGGAACGTCTGTCGCGTGTGTTCGGTCGTCGACTGGCGCATGTGTTTGCGGCCTGGGCAGGCAAGGGTTAGGAGGAAACAAGAAGTGGGGAGAGCAGAGCATTTCAAATTGGGACTTTCAAGCACGGTCCTCCAGGGCTTTCTAAGTGGCCCTTGGGCCTCTCCACAAGCCATACCTCCACTCCCCAAGCCACCCCACTTCTCCCTTGGTCTAACACCTCACAGGCCCTGATCCGCACCCTTCTGGAGTGTTTCTGCCTGGCTGGAAGGCAACTGTAAATCACTTAGGAAGCGATCCATAACTAAAATAACCAAGAATGACAGCATGCCTTTGAACAGCGATAAGGGCTTGCCTGAATGGAAGGAAAGGTGTGGAAGTGGATATGGGGAAAGGTTTGTCTGCCTCTCTCGTGACATGAGAATTCGTGGAGATCGAATGACGCTGGAAGATTCAGGACAGATAAAAGGACTTATTCAGGCAGTGCGCAGTTAAACTATGGAACTCGCTCCGGCAGGAAGCAACAGGGATCACCAACTTGGGAGGGCTTCAAAAAAGGATTGGACAAATTCATGGTTATAGCAATGGCTACTAGCCATGAGGGCTCTGCTGTGCCTGCACTGTCAGAGGTGTTTCTGCAGACTATCTGCTTGAAACTGCAGGAGGGACAAGTGCCATCGCGCTCAGATGCTGCCTGTGGGCTTCCAATTGGGATGCTGGACTAGATGGCCCCCTTTGGCCTGATCCAGATGCCTGGCTGCTCTTACATTCTTGTGTGTGTGTGCGCATAGAAATCACTGGTTTTTGTGTAGCTGTGATGTGGCCTCCATGCAAAGGTTGAGCATCACATTCTTCGCTCCACCACTCTTCTTCTGGCCCTGCCCAGCGCTGGCATGCAGCCCCTGGAAAGTCGCCTATGAAAGGATATGGCCTTCAGGCTGAGAAAGCTTCCTCATCTCTGGTTTAGTCTGAGACTTTTTAACTAATGCACACTCAAAATGGGCACTTACTGTCTCCGAGGTCATCCTGGAGCTCGGCTGGGGCCAGCCTTTCCTCTCTCACTTTCTGGGAGCTGCTTACAGGCGCATCTGCCTTCTTGGGCCTCAGGCTCTTGATGGGCTCCTACGGAGGATTCAAACGACAGAAATTAGAAAGGGCGGTTAATATATGTGATTCATCAGCAGAACAAAAAGCCACCAGCTGTTTAAAAAGCATGGAAGGTCCGAGCTTACATTTTCTTGACTTTGGGGAGACCTAAAATAACTAGAGGTAAAGGTAAAGGTACCCCTGCCCGTACGGGCCAGTCATGTCCGACTCTAGGGTTGTGTGCCCATCTTACTTAAGAGGCCGGGGGCCAGCGCTGTCCGGAGACACTTCCGGGTCACATGCCCAGCGTGATGAAGCTGCTCTGGCAAGCCAGCACCAGCGCAGCACACGGAAACGCCGTTTACCTTCCCGCTATAAAGCGGTACCTATTTATTTACTTGCACTTAGGGATGCTTTCGAACTGCTAGGTGGGCAGGAGCTGGGACCGAAAGACGGGAGCTCATCCCGCCGCGGGGATTCGAACCGCCAACCATACGATCGGCAAGTCCTAGGCACTGAGGTTTTACCCACAGCGCCACCCGCGTCCCAAAAAATAACTAGAGAGCACCCTACAATTAGAGTCATGGGCCTCTACTAAAATGGCTTCAAATAAAATAAACCAAGTTTAAGATGCATTTATTTAGAGCATTCCGCACCCCCAACTCTTCAACCAACAAAAGATCCCAGAGCAACTTATGTACAATCAATCAAAACAAGACAGTCCCTTCTAGATTCACAGTCTAAGAAAGCAGGACTCAAAAGGAAAAAAGGAAAGACCTGCCAACAGAAATGAAGAACATATTTATGTATGCGACAATGGCAGCAAGAGTTTTAATAGCACAAGGATGGAATAATAATAATAATAATTTATTATTTGTACCCCGCCCATCTGGCTGGGTTTCCCCAGCCACTCTGGGCGGCTTCCATAGAAACCAAAAAACACTAAAATATCATACATTAAAAACTTCCCTGAAGAATGAAGAAACTCCGACAGTGGCAAGAAAAACTGATGAACTATGCGGAACCGGCAAAATTGACGCACAAACTGCCCAACAAGGACAACGGTGACTTCAGAGAAGAATGGGAACCTTTTACAAAGTATTTAAAGAAACAACAAAATGAATTGGACTGCCTAGCAGGTTTTGAATAAACATACACAAATTGATTTCTTAATATAATAGATGGATAACTTAAGAGATTTTTACCTTTTTATAATATGCAGAGAACAAAATGTGCTAATAAATTAGAAAGAGGAACTGAGGGAAGTCATAGGGGGGAGGGGGGTATGTGGGGGTGAGAGGGGGGGAAACATAATTGCTGGAATAATTTGTTATGTGAAAACAGTCAATAAAATTTCAAGGAAAAAAGGAAGGGGGAGGTAAGAGGAAAAGAAAATTCAGGTCCTTAAAAAGCTAAATGGTAGTTCTTAAAATGACTTCCCACAGGGGCTCCTCGCAGGTGCTGCCCATTCTCCTCAAACCCCAGGCAGAAGGTTGCCAACTCCACCCACCCCATGGATAATCCCACAGTCCGCAGATTACGGGATTATTGCCTCTTGCACACAAACACCTCCCTCACCACTTTCATTTTCTGCACTCCCAGCAGTCTCTGTTGCAGCCAGGCAAATGCCTTGCTCCACTTTGCTCGCCTCTCAGTGGAGACACAAGAGCAGATCAGACACTGCTGCAGTTGGCGCTCAGCATTCCCACCAGCCCTGCTCTCTCCCATTAACGGATTTGGCATTTCAGGAGGGCATCCGTGTGCCCAGCTCTGCCCATCTCCTGTTACACATACCTTGTAGGCTTTGGTGACAACCCTCCGCTTCCTCTTGGGCTCGTTGTCATCCTGATCGCTGCTGGGCTCATCTCCCTCGTCAATATCAAAGTCGGAATCTACTTCGTCGTCACTGTCCGACTGGTCGCCTTTGTACTCGTCATCACCAGATTCCTGCAGGGCAGCCGAGAGAAGATGGTTGGGTGGGGAGAGCTCTCTTTCTGAACAGCAATGGCAAGAGACTCAATTTGCCATGCCCTCTCCCCCAAGCCAACCCCAGCAGATCTTTGCCCACCCCTCTAGCCTTTGAGCCACACATATCTGCTCCGCCCCTCTAGCTTCTGAGTCATCTCTCTGCAAAAAAAAAACAAAACCCCACAGCCAGCATGGAGTAGAGATTTGGGGCTTAGTCTGATTTCTCAGCCTAAACCTTGCAGGGGGGGTTTGAAGCCAAAAATGGGGGTGGGGTGATCACATATATTCCCCTAAGTTCTCTGGCAGAGAGGATGAATAAAAAAGGAGAAAGTGGGAAAGGACATCCAAAGTCAGTGTGGTTAAAGTGTCATACTAGGACCTAGGTGACCAGGGTTCAAATCCCCACTCAAGCCATGAAGCTGACTGGGTGACTGCCTAGCCTACCTCACAGGGTCGTTGTGGGAATTAAATGAGGGGGAAGAATTATGTAGGCTACCTTGAGGCTCCCTAGCTGTCAACGTTCCCCTTTTTTTAAGGGAAATTCCCTTATTCCAAATAGGATTCCTTGCAAGAAAAGGGAAAAGTTGACAGCTATGCCTTGAGCTCCTGGCAGAAGGAAGGTAGGATGTAAATGAGATACTTCCCTCTCTCTACCAAAGTGACTTATTCAGCCACCATCACTAAAAGAAACCACCCTGTCCAGGAGCAGTCTACCGCCAAGCAACCTGTTGCAGAAAAGAAGATGCAGGTAGAACTGCTTATGGGCTCCCAAAGTGCAGCCTCCTTTGGAGAGAAAGTGCTGGACCTTCTTGGTTCAAACTTTCCAGAAATACTGTATTTATATTATACGTATTGCACATGTTGTTGTTGTTGTTTAGTCGTTTAGTCGTGTCCGACTCTTCGTGACCCCATGGACCAGAGCACGCCAGGCACCTCTGTCCTCCACTACTTCCCGCAGTTTGGTCAAACTCATGCTGGTAACCTCAAAAACACTATCCAACCATCTCGTCCTCTGTCGCCCCCTTCTCCTTGTGCCCTCCATCTTTCCCAGCATCAGTGTCTTCTCCAGGGAGTCTTCTCTTCTCATGAGGTGGCCAAAGTACTGGAGCCTCAGCTTCACGATCTGTCCTTCCAGTGAGCACTCAGGGCTGATTTCCTTCAGAATGGAGAGGTTGGATCTTCTTGCAGTCCATGGGACTCTCAAGAGTCTCCTCCAGCACCAGAATTCAAAAGCATCAATTCTTCGGCGATCAGCCTTCTTTATGGTCCAGCTCTCACTTCCATACATCACGACTGGGAAAACGTATTGCACATACTATAGACTAAATAGTACGTATAGTATGTATTGCACATACTATAGACTAAACTGGACTCATGCCTCTGTAGCCCCGCCCATCCCGCCTTCCTTCCAGCCAATCACAAGCAAGCGTCGCCTCGGCCGTGAGCTGGGGGTCCCGCCCCCTCCTGGACCTACCCCGCCCCCTGCCGCTGCCCATCAACCCAAGTCCCGCCCCCTACCTCCGTGAAGCCCCCGTACGTCGTCTTATAAAACTCGTCCTCTTCCTCCGCTTCGAGCAGCCCCGAGAGCCGGTTCCCTGCCGTCCGCCGCGGCGCTCGGCCTCCAGCCAGGCCCGTCGAAGCGGACGCCGCCGCCATGTTTAGTCTTTCCCCGGCGAGGGAGAGCGGAGTGGCGATCGATGCCGTCGGCTCGCGACCACGCGCCCTGCGTTGCGGGGGCTATTCGCAACGTCTCCGAGGCGGCCTCCGCTTGAATGGGGGGGATGAGTCATCGAGCGCCGAGCTAACGGACGCCGATGGTGGGTAGGCACGATTAGTTGAGCGTCGACGCAGAGATTGGGACTGGAATGGGGGAATCGAACGCCGAGAAAGTCGATGAGTGAGAAACATTCCAGCATTGTGTTTTCCCCAAAAAAAACCCGCTTCCGGGAAGGATCTGCAAGCTGGGTGTTCAGAAGACACCCTCCTTTTATTAATGCCCTTGCAGAAACTGGAAATTCATTTAGCAGTCATGCTCCGATAGGCCTATTTTTCATGCATTCGCTTAATCCCCTGCTCTTTTCAAAGTAGTATGTAATAATAACAATAATAATAATAATAATAATAAATTTTTATTTATACAGTACCCCGCCCTCCCCAGCCAAGGCCGGGCTCAGGGCGCCTAACAAGCAATAATAAAAACAAGTTGAATGAATACAACTTAAAAACAAGATTAAAATTGTTTTTGTTTAGTCGTTTAGTCGTGTCCGACTCTTCGTGACCCCCTGAACCAGAGCACGCCAGGCACTCCTGTCTTCCACTGCCTCCCGCAGTTTGGTCAAACTCATGCTGGTAGCTTCAAGAACACTGTCCCACCATCTCATCCTCCGTCGCCCCCTTCTCCTTGTGCCCTCCTTCTTTCCCAACATCAGGGTCTTTTCCAGGGAGTCTTCTCTTCTCATGAGGTGGCCAAAGTATTGGAGCCTCAACTTCACGATCTGTCCTTCCAGTGAGCACTCAGGTCTGATTTCCTTAAGAATGGAGAGGTCTGATCTTCTTGCAGTCCATGGGACTCTCAAGAGTCTCCTCCAGCACCATAATTCAAAAGAATCAATTTTTCGGCGATCAGCCTTCTTTATGGTCCAGCTCTCACTTCCATACATCACTACCGGGAAAACCATGGCTTTAACTATACGGACCTTTGTTGGTAAGGTGACATCTCTACTTCTCAAGATGCTGTCTAGGCCTGTCATTGCCCTTCTCCCAAGGAGCAGGCGTCTTTTAATTTCATGACTGCTGTCACCATCTTCAGTGATCATGGAGCCCAAGAAAATAAAATCTCTCACTGCCTCCATTTCTTCCCCTTCTATTTGCCAGGAGGTGATGGGACCAGTGGCCATGATCTTCGTTTTTTTGATGTTGAGCTTCAGACCATATTTTGCGCTCTCCTCTTTCACCCTCATTAAAAGGTTCTTTAATTCCTCCTCACTTTCTGCCATCAAGGTTGTGTCATCTGCATATCTGAGGTTGTTGATATTTCTTCCGGCGATCTTAATTCCGGCTTGGGATTCATCCAGCCCAGCCTTTCGCATGATGAATTCTGCATATAAGTTAAATAAGCAGGGGGACAATATACAGCCTTGTCGTACTCCTTTCCCAATTTTGAACCAATCAGTTGTTCCATATCCAGTTCTAACTGTAGCTTCTTGTCCCACATAGAGATTTCTCAGGAGACAGATGAGGTGATCAGGCACTCCCATTTCTTTAAGAACTTGCCATAGTTTGCTGTGGTCGACACAGTCAAAGGCTTTTGCATAGTCAATGAAGCAGAAGTAGATGTCTTTCTGGAACTCTCTAGCTTTCTCCATAATCCAGCGCATGTTTGCAATTTGGTCTCTGGTTCCTCTGCCTCTTCTAAATCCAGCTTGCACTTCTGGGAGTTCTCGATCCACATACTGCTTAAGCCTTCCTTGTAGAATTTTAAGCATAACCTTGCTAGCGTGTGAAATGAGTGCAATTGTGCGGTAGTTGGAGCATTCTTTGGCAGTTCCCTTCTTTGGGATTGGGATGTAGACTGATCTTCTCCAATCCTCTGGCCACTGCTGAGTTTTCCAAATTTGCTGGCATATTGAGTGTAGCACCTTAACAGCATCATCTTTTAAAATTTTAAATAATTCAGCTGGAATATCATCACTTCCACTGGCCTTGTTATTAGCGATGCTTTCTAAGGCCCATTTGACTTCACTTTCCAGGATGTCTGGCTCAAGGTCAGCAACCACACTACCTGGGGTATACGAGACATCAATTTCTTTCTGGTATAGTTCCTCTGTGTATTCTTGCCACCTCTTCTTGATGTCTTCTGCTTCTGTTAGGTCCTTTCCACTTTTGTCTTTTATTATGGAAATCTTTGTACAAAATGTTCCTTTCATATCTCCAATTTTCTTGAACAGATCTCTGGTTTTTCCCATTCTATTGTTTTCCTCTATTTCTTTGCATTGCTCGTTTAAGAAGGCCTTCTTGTCTCTCCTTGCTATTTTTTGGAAATCTGCATTCAATTTCCTGTATCTTTCACTATCTCCCTTGCATTTTGCTTGCCTTCTCTCCCCTGCTATTTGTAAGGCCTCGTTGGACAGCCACTTTGCTTTCTTGCATTTCCTTTTCATTGGGATGGTTTTAGTTGCTGCCTCTTGTATAATGTTACGAGCCTCCATCCATAGTTCTTCAGGCACTCTGTCCACCAAATCTAAATCCTTAAACCTGTTCCTCACTTCCACTGTGTATTCATAAGGGATTTGACTTAGATTGTATCTTACCGGCCCAGTGGTTTTTCCCACTTTCTTCAGTTTAAGCTTGAATTTTGCTATAAGAAGCTGATGATCTGAGCCACAGTCAGCTCCAGGTCTTGTTTTTGCTGACTGTATAGAGCTTCTCCATCTTTGGCTGCAGAGAATATAATCAATCTGATTTCGATGCTGCCCATCTGGTGATGTCCATGTGTAGAGTCGTCTCTTGTGTTGTTGGAAAAGCGTGTTTGTGATGACCAGCTTGTTCTCTTGACAGAACTCTATTAGCCTTTGCCCTGCTTCGTTTTGATCTCCAAGGCCAAACTTGCCAGTTGTTCCTTTTATCTCTTGCCTCCCTACTTTAGCATTCCAATCCCCTATAATGAGAAGAACATCCTTCTTTGGTGTCACTTCTATAAGGTGTTGTAAGTCTTCATAGAACTGGTCAATTTCAGTTTCTTCAGCACCAGTAGTTGGTGCATAAACTTGGATTACTGTGATGTTAAAAGGTCTGCCTTGGATTCGTATCGAGATCATTCTATCATTTTTGAGATTGCATCCCAGTACAGCTTTCACCACTCTTTTGTTGACTATGAGGGCCACTCCATTTCTTTTACGGGTTTCTTGTCCACAGTAGTAGATATGATAGTCATCCGAACTGAATTCGCTCATTCCCGTCCATTTTAGTTCACTGATGCCCAAGATGTCAATATTTATTCTTGCCATCTCATTTTTGACCACATCCAACTTACCCAGGTTCATGGTTCTTACATTCCAGGTTCCTATGCAATATTTTTCTTTACAGCATTGGACTTTCCTTTCGCTTCCATGCATATCCGCAACTGAGCGTCCTTTCGGCTTTAGCCCAGCCGCTTCATCAGCTCTGGATCTACTTGTACTTGTCCTCCGCTCTTCCCCAGTAGCATGTTGGACACCTTCCGACCTGAGGGGCTCATCTTCCAGCGTCATAACTTTTATATGCCTGTTGTCTTTGTCCATGGAGTTTTCTTGGCAGGGATACTGGAGTGGCTTGCCAGTTCCTGCTCCAGGTGGATCACGTTTGGTCAAAACTCTCCACTATGACCTGTCCATCTTGGGTGGCCCTGCACGGCATAGCTCATAGCTTCTCTGAGTTATTCAAGCCCCTTCGCCACGGCAAGGCAGTGATCCATGAAGGAGAAGATTAAAATACAACATTAAAATATTGAAACAATAAAATATTAAAATGCAGCCTCCTCACAGGAGGAGAAAGGAAAAAGGAGGGGGAGGGAATCAAATTGGCTCCAAACCAAAGGCCATAATAGCGAGGAGAGTAGCAAGAATAAAACTTGCTTGGCTGACTAAAGGCCACTTCCATTCAGCATTCTGTCTCCAAAAGCAGGCAGAGACGATGCGTTCATGTAGCCTGCAAAGCAGCACCACTCTGAAGTGCACTAGCTCTGCATTTGGAAGTTTCATCCACCTCTCTTTTTTACCAATTAATGTTTATTGCTCTTCAAAAATGGTAACGAATTTAACATCAAATTTAATAAAATTTTTAAAGTTTCACCTGCCTCTTGTGGCTAGTATCTGCAGGTGGACTCTTCCAAGAGTTCCAGCACTGCTCTGCTGAATGAAGGCTAACCCACCACCACCCCACCACCAACCCAACACTGGCAAAACAGATTCCTCCAGAAAGCCCCCAAGTCCTGCAATTTGCCCTCTTCCTCCACCCACAACTGATATCCAGAGGTTGACTGCCTCTTTGAATGGCGGTTCCATTCCACTGAAACACTGATGACTTCATTCTCAGAGCTGAAGAACCATCTTAGCTTTTCATGTATTGGTACATAGAATCATAACGGAGAACTGGAAGGTGCCCCTAAGGATTATCTTGTCCAATGATCATCATTCTAGTCCAACCCCCTGCATGTACTGTGGAACCACTGTTGAAAGTCTGGGAATCAGATAATAGGCAAGGCTTTTTTCTGTTGGAACTCGCCGGAAGTTATTTCTGGCACCTCACAGGTGGGCGCCATTGCCATTCTAAGAGAACGAGGGAGGTGTTCATGGCACCTCTTTTTTCTAGAAAAATAGCACTGGTTATAGGCAATATAATTCAGATTCCAGACTGGGACAAAATAGGGGCCGCTCATCCATTAAAATTCAGTTTCTAGTTCTGTTTGTGAAATTTCACTGAAGTTACTTCATAGATGTTATCACACACTACGAGAAGTGAAGTTACAGGGAACCAGGCTGAGTGCCTTCTCGGTAGTGGTGCCCGCCCTGTGGAACACGCTCCCTTCAGATGTCAAGGAAATAAACAACTATCTTGACTTTTAGAAGGCATCTGAAGGCAGCCCTGTTTAGGGAAGTTTAAGGACTGATGTTTTAATAAAGTTTTTAGATATGTTGTAAGCCACCCAGAGTGGCTGGGAAAACCTGGCCAGATGGGCAGGGTATAAATAATAATTTTTTTATTATTATTAGTCAAATTATCACACATTTTCAAGATTGTCACCACTTTGTTGGTGAGGTCATGATCAATGTGGCATGTACTTTGATTTATGGTAGACTATTTTACTTGAAAAGTTTCAGGATTTGGTTTATAATGAAATGTGTGGCATGGCAGCTTACTACTGGGGGTAAGTAAGAACTTCAAAATGTGCTTTGATGGGGTCACTGAAACTTCCCCCCAGGTGGGAGTATAAGATTACCAGTGATCTGTTGAGTTGTAATGGGGCTATGAAGCCTAATTATGCAGCAAAGGTCAGAGAGTTTGAATTAAGCTTCCATTCAGGTCCATTTATGTCACTCCCCCAAAGTTTATTGGTTTTTATATGTATATGTGATTCCAGGGCCTAAAAATGTGATGATGAGCAGGAAGCCTCTGGAGTTTGCCCGCTAAGCTTTTTTCCTCCTCTGGGAAGCTGGCCAAGATTTTATCTGATGTGATCTGAGCCAGCTGCTTAATGAAACTGAGCACCGCGACCTCCACTTTGTCGTTTAAGCTGCTGGTTTAGCCTCTTAACACCGTCTGAAATCGAAAGGAGAACCAAGCTTGCGTAAGTGATGCAAGTCTTCCTGGTAAGGGTTTTCTCTCTCTTCCAGTTCCTGTTCAAAATTGTGCCTGGAGCAAAACAGGAATCTGTGCCTTCCACTGAACAGCACCTCCTTTAAATAGATTTTGTTGTATTATTTTACTGTTGTTTGCCGCTCTGAGCCCGGCTTCGGATATAAATAAATATATTATTATTATTATTATTATTTTTGAAAAGATTGCACAACTCAGTAGAGTTAGGTCCATTTTATACAGGTGTGGTGTGAACCATTTTCAGGCCAAGGGCCACATTCTGTCAGATGCAGCCTTCTGGGGGCCACCTGTCAATAGCAGGCAGGGCCAGAGGGGAGAGTAGGTGGAGCTAAAAATATGAGACTTACTTTTATATAGTAAGCTACTACAGCCACATAGAAGTCAGAACTTTGCACATACACACCCACACACTTCTTTCAACCTGTTTGTTCAACTTAAGGTAAAACTCATCAAGGTGGAAGGAAATGGTATGGAGATATTGCTTTTTCTTGCAAAGGCTTGGGGTACAAGGCCAATTGTAAAACGGAGTGGTTTGATTTCATTAGGTGATTTTGGACTGTAAAATATCTGCCAAAGCATTGCTCTGATCTCTGGACATCAACAGAAGGAATGGCTTTCAGATAATCTCTCTGTGCTGCTTTTAAAAAAGGGGAGAGGGCGATAATCCTTACTAATCGAGATAAAAGCAAATGCATTCTGCAGCTGAGGGGCAGTGAAGAGATATTGCATGCTCGTTCCATAGTGAACAGTAGCTAGATCTGGATTCCCCAACCTGGGGTCCTCTGTCACCACTAACTAAAATGGTGTTAAACAATACCGGAGACCCAACACCTCATGCTAATTTGCTGTACAGCGATACCTCTGGTTAAGTACTTAATTCATTCCAGAGGTCCGTTCTTAACCTGAAACTGTTCTTAACCTGAAGCACCACTTTAATAATAATAATAATAACAATAATAATAATTTTTATTTATACCCCGCCCTCCCCAGCCAAGGCCGGGCTCAGAGCGGCTTACAAGCAATAATAAAAACAATTTGAACCCTGTTCTCCCAATTCCTCGTCCTGACACTGGCTACGATGTGATGTCGCTGGTGTGTCACATTTGATGAGGTCTTCATGAGGCGGAGATTATATAAACCTCTTTTGCCAGAATGCAAAAGCGAATTTTGATACAATAATAATCTTTATTAGCGTTTCTGATGCTATTTTTACTAATAATTGAATAATAAATAATAATATGTGGTGTCACATCTGATGAGGTCATCCCACTGCACAGATTGAACAAGGCCGCGTTGCCATGGCAACGGTGTAACTGCATCAGGTAGCATCCCTCAGGGGCCCGGGGTAGCTCAGCCTGGCGTTGCTATGGCAACGTCGACTAGGCCAGCGCTCGCTGAGAAGCCGTGGAGCCACGCCCACTCCCACGCAACGCACGGCTGCCTTCTCCCGAGCCTCGGCCGCCCACTTCCCTCTTGGCGCATGCGCAGTACCGGTCCCCTTACCCGCGGTCCGTTATAAACAAGGCAGAGCTTCCCGCCCCGCCCCCCCCCATCTCGCCCAGCCGCCGCTCTGACGCTCCACCCTCCCCTTCGCGTGCATTGGTTTGCCCCGGCGCCGTTTGGGCGGGTCCACGAGAGGAAGCGGGGGTTGCGGACGTGAAAAATCGGAGACGGGTCGGGGGAGGAGGCGTGGCAACCCCTCGGAGCGCGCGGGTGGTGCGGCCCGCAGTCGCGGCTCGAAGCGAGGCGGGCGAGACCAAGTGAAGAGGCCGGGGGGTGGTGGTGAGGATGGTGATGGTGATGAAGAGCGGTGTGGAGAAAGCAGCAAGAAAAAGAGGATTCCAGCCGTGAGGCAAAGCGAGGCGGCGAAAAAAAGACTATATATTTTTTTAAATTGATAATAATACGGGATAATTTTTTTAAAAAAGAAAAGGAGGCGGAAAGGAGGGTGAAGCGGTAAAATGGCGTCGGCCGGGCCCGAGCCTGGGGGGAGCAGCGGCGTTTCCTCAGGTGAGGGGCGAGCTTGTGACTCCCTTTTCTGTGGCGAGGAGGGGGGTGTTAAATCTCGGAGAGGAGCGTTGGTTGGGGGGGGAATTCCCTCTCTGTGGGGGGGGCAGGGGTGGATATTTGGGGAGGGGGTCTTAAAATGAGTTCCTCTGAGACCCCCGTGTGAGTAAGGGGGCTGCATGGAGGGGGGGGAATAGAAAATTGGGGAGGGGGGCCTTTGCATCTTTATGTGGGGTAAATGAATCCCACACAGGTGTCTGGGCGGGGGGGGGGAAGCTGTTTTATTGAAGGGTCTCAGCTCCCCCAATTTACAGGAGGAGGAGGAGGAGGAGGAGAAGAAAGAGACTGGCTCCCCCTATGAGTGGGGGGGCAGTTTAGGGTGGGGGTGGTGAATGAGACCCCCCACTCACAGTGGGGTGTCAGTCTCTCCCCACCCCTAGTATATCTGGGGGACCGATTCCCCCCCCACAATAGAAAATCTACAGCTTTCTTCTCCCCCCCCCAAACACTCAGTGGGGAACATTTGGAAGAGGGGTACTTCGTGGGCTGCTTATGGGAAGGGGTTTGGGGGGGTGAAAAGTGACTTCTGCTCCTCCTGGGGGGGCAAATGAGAGGAAATGAGGGGGGGAAGAAGGGGCAAATGTATTGATTTAGCTGGCGGGTCTTATGTTGCTTGCCAGGGAATATATATATTTGGGGTGGGTTCTGAGACTCCCTCCAAAGAGGGAGGAAGGAGGTGGTTGTGGGTTTTATTTGGGGAGGGGGCTTCAGGTTAGGGGTGAAAAGGGTGATGGGTTTGGGGAGCCTTTATTTGGGGAGCGATCAATGTGTGGGGTGTGGAAGGGCCTTTTTCTTATTTCTCAGAGTACTGTAGTTGGCCTTGAATGTGGGGTGTATGGGAAGGCTCCAGAGAGTTGTGGGGGGATATATTCCACCACCCCAGTGCAGATTCCATTAATTGAAAAGAAACCTTCTTGCTTGTAAGTAGCACTGAAGGCAGAGTTCAACAACAATTTGTTTAAAAATGCAACCATATACTAAAATGGCAGATTTCAGAGAATAGGAGGTTTGGGTATAATCTTGCCGTTAAATAAAAATTAAATAAAAATGGAAGGTTAGAGATGGCAGAGTCCCTAGGATTGGCGTGTGTGTGTATAGGGTGATATAATGAACCAGACCCTTTTTGCTGAGCAATGGGGAGGCAGTGAATCCCCCCCTTTGGGGTGGGGCGTCCTGGGGGGTCACGTTGCATGGATGAACGAAGTGCCTCTTTCAGTGTGGGGCTTTCTCTCTGTTGCCTGAGAAAGGGGCTGTCATGGGGGTCCTTGATCTTCCAATAATTGGGGGCGATTGCTGGGATTTGAAGAGAGATCCTCCAAACAGGGGTGCAGTGGGAGCCTGACACTGAGCATATGGTGAGTGAGTGGTTGCACCTCTTGGCATAAGGAGAGAAGATGCTGGGAACAAACACATTTTTGTGTGGGATGTGGGGTCGCTTAAGGAAACAAGTCCCTGCTTTGGTGGGGATGTTCAGAAGGGGCCATCCCCCTTTCCTGGAGGAAAGTTGTGGGGCCTTCCTTATGGTGGATGTGGAGACTGTGGTATAACTTGTGTTTATGCAGTTCTCTGGGCAATAGATGAGTGAATCCCAAGGCATGGCCCTCGTGGAGAAGCAAGTGGTTGGTGGTTTGAGGTTGCGGGTTGAGTCCTCAAAGTTCCTTCTGTGTATGAATGACTTTCTGCTTTCCTTTTCAGTTTAGCAAGAGCGTTATGGGGTAGCACTGTCACTCATTGGTAGGGCACCTTCTCTGCATGTAGAAGGTCCCATGTTTGATCCCATGGGTCCCTGCTGGAAAGCCTGGAGATCTGCCAGTTAGCGTAGGCAGTACTGAACTAGACAGACCCAAGTTTTTGACTGTCTTAAGGCAGCATCTTAGGTTCCTAGCGTTTGAGGGTGGGGAAGGTTAATGCGAGCAGGGGACACAGGGAGGTACTTGGGGCAGTGACCTCCAGTCTATTCCCCCAAGGGAGCTTGTGTGGACACTGGACACTCTCTAAAGGAAGGAGCTGGCTATGTCTGAGCTCGTGCATGTGTGTGTGTGTGTGTGTTTTTTTCTGGAGTTGGAGGAGTATTATTTGCAGGTCAGGAGAAGTTGAGACCCTTTTGTGGGTGGTGGGAGGCGGACAGAAGCAGAATGGGAAGTGATGGGGCTCCTTGTGTGGGAATGATTGGAGCAGGGTCCAGCCCACTTCCTGAATTATGGTGAGGGGTTTTTGCTGTTGCAGTGCCGGGGTCAATGGGAGCATGTGCATAAGTCATCCTTTCCCTTGATGTCATTAAATGAAGGGTGTGTGTGATCTGTCTTTTCAGAAGAAAGGGTGGTGTAGTTGGTTGCCACAGAGTTGTGGGCAGGCTTCAGAGGCAGGGTTGCTGGACTCTTCTGGGTGGGAGTCCACCGGTCCTGAGGGAAGCTTCTTACCTTTCTTCTCCTATCAGAGAGCAGCAGGCTGCAGGGCTGAAATGTACATCTTGGAGGGACATGGATGAGATAACTGAAAAGGGAGATTTCTTAACCTTTGAACATCAACCACCTTATTGGACTTCGGGGGATGGTATGTTTCCCTCTTTGTATTCAATGCTTTAGGAAGGAATGAGACCTTGAATCCCCCTGAGTGATTATAGGGTGTTCATTTAATTAACATTTATATTCGCAGGAATAAGATTTTTTTATTTTTAGACAACACTATGACATATAGAAGGCAGCAGTTTAAACCTTCAGTGTAAAAACTCTGTAGGTCAGTCTTGATTTTGTTACAATTTCCCTCTAGCTCATTCTCACACAACAACCAGTCTGGAGTCAAAGTTCTCAAGGGATGAGCAGATAATGTGGTGGTAGGCCTGTGAAATGTACCACTTCAGGGCTACATCAGGCCTTCCAACACCACTCACAGCTCCTGGTGTGTTTCTTTGTTGGGTAAGATTTTTGGCAAGCGAGACTTGTCAAACAGGCCAGGGAAAGTTGTGCAGCCATCTTCTTTTATTTTTGTAGTGCTGGTACCACAAAGTTATTGTTGCTGGTCTTCTATCAAGGGGGCTGATCAGCCCCTACACCTGTTGATTTTCAGCAGTGCTTGGGGTCATCTTCTGAGCCCAACCCTCCTTGGTATGGCATACTAAGTAGAGCCTTTTTGGTGCTGGCTCCAGGGCAGTGGAACATCCTGCCAAAAGACACTCTCCTAGCTCACATTTTGCAGGCAGCTGAAACTTGCCACTGTCTGATAGGTTTCCTTTTTCATCAGGCACTTTCTTCTGCTATTGTGCAAGTCTCATATTTTTAATTTCACCTTAATTTTGAATCCTCTCTTTCTCCCTCTACTCCAGATGTGCTTTCAATCTCTGTTTGCTGCCTCAAGTATTTTTTTATTATTTTTTTTAGAAAGGTGGGATGAACATGCTAAAAATGAATCAGCTGTTCAGTTTTTGGTCCCTTGGGTACAACCCTCAAGGTGTCCTTTTGGTATCCTGCCCACATAAAATCCAAGGGCTGTTTCTTTGCCTAACTCTGGCTTTATAGATAAAAGTTAAAATTTGACTGGTCTGCCCTTCTCTCTCTATCCTGCCCACCTACCAGTAAAAGCCACTCTTTGGGGATTGTCTGTGTCTAGATGTTGGGTGGGGGAGGATGAGGATAGAGAACACCCACCAGGGCTGGACAGCCCTTTCCTTTCGCTTTGAAATAGGTCATGTGCCAAAAATAACCAATTGCAATGCGTCTGTCTGTAGACGGCACTCTTAATTCAGTAAATGATATAATTCAAGCTTTCTGCAACTCTGGACCACTGACCCCTCCACATATTTACTTGGAAGTATGACTGGTGCGGTTTAAACTTCCTAGTGAGTTTGGGTTTTTTAAAGGTGGCAGCTTCTAAGCTCTTTGCAGCCTTGATTATGTTAAGATTTGCACCTTCCATATGCAGTGGGATAATGTTATACCACCTTTTTGTAGATGGGGGTGGGGGAGGTGGGAAAATCTGACAAAATCCCACACCAGGGGTGCCGCTCAGAAATATGGCTTGCCCAAGCCTCACTCTGTCCCCTTGTCCTCTGAGCTCTTAGCTCCAGCTTCCTGGCTCACAAACTATGTTTTTAGTCTCTAAACTAAAGCTGCAGTCCGCTATACACTTCAGCCCCTTTGAACTCTGCGGGGCTTAAGTTGCGAATAATCATGCTTCTGATCAGCCTGTGCATCTCCTTGGAAACCATCCTGTGAGGGTCATTAACTGCGGCTTCCATTTCCTAGATGACTTGGTCAGATGCTAAACAGCCCCCCACCCCCAAACTTTGTCCTTGCCTAAGGCAGATTTTGAACCCATGCCTCTAAACTCGGACTCCGTTTGTAACAGCAGCACAGCTCCCCCCCCCCCAAATCACTTTGCATCTTAAGGCCTTGTTTTGCTGGTGCTGTTTTGTCATTCAGGTGGGGAGGATTCCCGCCCCCCCCCCAAAAAAAACCAAGTCAACACAATGGAATGGTGCTTCCTGAGTGCCCTTCAGACAAATCTGCCTAAATGGAGGCACTTGTCTTCTGTGGGGAAACAAACCAGAGAGCCAGAGTGGGGAAGTACAGGTGGGTTGTGGACTTTCCTCATCGCTTTTGAAAGCTGTCTCTCCAAATGCTTCCTCTTGACATTATGAAAAACGCGAAAGCAGAGGTGGGGAACATCTGGGGCCCTCCAGATGTCCTCAGATTCCTGTGTGCCCCTGTGGCCAGCATGGCTAGTGGTCTGGGAGGATGATGGGAGTTGGGAGTTCGACAACAACTGGAGAGCCGTAGATTTCCCCCAATTTTGGACTGAAGGGTTTTGTCGCACCCCCCACCCCCCCGATTTTGAGAGAGACCTAGGAAGCTACCTTATACTGAGGCAGACCATTGGTCTACCTAGCTCAGTACTGTCCACACTGACTGGCAGCAGCTCTCCGTGGAATTCAGGCAGGGTGCCTTTCTTACCTAAGGATTGAACCTGAAACCTACATGCACAATGGATGCTCTCCCACTGAGCTATGGCGCTTCCCCAGGCATTTTGTTTTTCTCTTGACAGCTGTGATTCAGGTCAAAAGGGGGCTGGAGATTTATTTATCATTTATTTTATATCCTTCCTCTTTAGGATCATGCTGTACAAGCCTGCTTAACAAAAACAGCTTAAAACAATGAAACAGTACAATCCTTGAGATAACAAAAGTAACACAAAACAGATCAGCTTTTTTTAAAGGGTCTACAGAGTCCCCTGCTAGCACGTCTAGATTAAAATGAATTGTAAATATATTTATCCTAAATAAAAGTGATTTTTCAGAGAGTGCTTAGAAGGTGTAGAGACTGGAGGGGTGTGTGTGTGTGTGTCTCTGTGTGTGTCTGTGTCTGTCTGAAGGTGCTGAACTACTCAGCTGTGGAGCTGAGGCTTGAGGGAGGTACAGTGGGAACGGTTTCATGCAAGTTATTAGAGATTGGATAGAGGTGTTGGAGTAGAAATTTGGGATGCAGAGTGGCAACTTCCTTTCCAGATGTAGGCTGAACAGTGAGATTAATCTGTTTAAATGGTGTGATGGATTCTCTTCTCTGTCCCCTCCTCCTTTTTATTTTTTGCTCTTATATATTTTTGTACTCTTTAATTTATTCTTCCCCTGTCACGATGTTGAAACATCTACCCAGACGTACTCGAGCTTCAGTTTTTTCCCTCTCCTAAAAATAATTTCACTGCTTTCTCTCTCTTTTCCTCCTCTTTCTCTGTATAGCTTTCAGCTTCCTTTGCTGTTCACTGATGCCTTCCCGAAGATGTATGGGTAAACCGAGGCACGAGCATGGGCTTCTCCCCCTCCTCTCTGATTACTAGCCGCTAAACAGACTTGGCTTTCTTAAGTTTCATGTGTGCATGTGTGGTGTGGAACCGAGCCTTTACTTAGGAGTGGTGAACCTTTGGCCTGCTGGACATTGTTGGACTCCATCTCCCATCAGCCCTTGCAGGCATAGCTGAGTGATCAAGGGCAATGGGAATTGTAGTTCACTGACATCTGAAGGGCCAAAGTTCCCCCTGTTTGCCTAAGGTTACTGGATTGATGGTGTTATTGCCTTATGTCAGGACTGCTCTCTAATTGAACTGACCTCCTTCCACTCCCCAGTTTTTAAAAGTCCTTAACTTATCTTTAGGTTAGAGCAGGTGGTCCTAGAGCTCTGCACTGGAACTCTTTGTGGCAATAATATTTAAGTGCTCAGAGCACAGACGTTTATTACACCGACCCTGAAAGGCATTCTGATATTAACCTGTCCATTTTACATGAGACTTCCAGGTATTGGTTGCCTAGAAGCTGCCATAGGTCTTACCTTTGCCTGCATTATTGTATCTTTCCCAGTATTATCTATCCCAAGGATTGGGAGCACTTGTGGGGACCTGTAGATGTTGCTGGACTACAACTCCCCATCACCCTCTCTGACTACTGGTCATGCTGGGAGTTGGAATCCCACAGTTTTTGGAGGACCGCATGCTCTCCCCATCTGTGATCCAACAATAGCTTGCAGAGGCTCTCTCAAGTCTCTTAAATAAGTCTTCCACTGCTCCCTGGGGTTTCTGATGGTAAAACATTCTCTCCCAGAACCATGAGTCATTCCTTTTGTACCAGTCGTGGTAGAGAAGTTCTCATTCTAACTCACGTTTTGTTCACACCAGAGTTGGGAAACCAGTAGTCCTTCCAGATGATGTTCTGGAAGGTTTACAGAGAGCCCAGAGCCAATGACCTCTTCCAGATCCTGTCTGACCAATGGCTGCAGGGACCCCGTCTTTGATTTAGGTCAATGGTTTTCACCCTCTCATCGTACCTATGCAGTGTTTAATGTCTGCCTCAAGAGTCCTCTTTTGTGGCATTCATTCTATATTTGGAGGAGAGGGTGACATATTTGTCAGCCTTTGGGCCAACTGCCCCTGGTGGGCAGAGCAAATTCCTACACACCCTGGCAGGCCCTTCTCTGCCTTCCATCCAGTCAAGTCAAGGGCAGGTTCCAGCCAGGTAGGAAGCAGGGTTGGTGAGAGGGTGTGGCCTGAAGAGAGGAGGTGTGGCTAGGGAGGAGGTGTGGCCTGAGGAGAGGCCTGGTGGGTTGCCTTTGGCCCCTAGGTCTGGGGTCCCCCACCCCTGTTCAAAATACAGTTCATTTTTATTTATTTTTAATGTGTGAGTAAGAGAAGGTGGTTTGTTCTGTTCTGCCTCCGTCCTCGATAACAAAGCGGCAATTCTGCAGCTCCTTGATGCACAGACTTGGTGTGAAGTGCAAGATCAAGGATGCCAGTGCCGGTGACACATCTTCTCCAAATAGCTTTCGCAACCTCGCTGCATGTTTGTTTGAAGCAGCCACCCTCCTCCTCTGCTTGAGCAACACTCCTCCACGCTTTTAAGCACTAGAGCTCTAAGCCTGCTGGTATCGGCTGATGTCCATGCTTTTTATTTCTATCAAGCTTGCAGGATTATTACACAACTCTCCTTGCCATGGCTAGTGTCCTCCCAGCCTCTGGCAAGCATAAGCAGCTCTCGCTTTTCAACCTGGGAGCCAGGAGGTGGCCGTGTGTCGACCCTTCGGTTGTGCTGTGTTTCCAGAGGTGCTTGGAATGAGGCTGTGGCAGGAGTCACCTCTTGCCTCCAGTTTTAGTGCTAGAGAAAAGAGCAAAGAGGTTGCTGTCCTTGCACTGAATTTCAGAGATGGAGTACGAAGTTGGGGTCAAGGCTCCCCACCTGCCTTGAGGAAGGTGTTTCATTCTGGTCCACACCGTTTGGTTTTTTTTTTTCACTACCAAGGAAAGGGGGAATGTGTGAAACCTTGGCTGCAGGTGAGCCACTGTGGCTTGAAAGCTGAATAACTGACATGAACAAGAAGCATAGGAGTTGGAAAGGGCATCTAGTCCGGCCTCTTGCAATGCTGGAATCTCAGCTAAAGCATCCATGACAGCTAAAACCTCCAAGGAAGGAGAGTCTACCTACCTCTTGTGGGAATCTGTTCCACTGCTGAACAGCTCTTACTGTCAGAAAGGTCTTCCTGATGTTTAGTCAGAATCTCCTTTGACACCATTGGTTCTGATCCTCCCCTCCGGAGCAGGAGAAAACAAGCTGGCTCCATCTTCCATGGGACAGCCTTTAAGATATTTGAAGTTGGCTCTCATATCTCCTCTCAGTCTCCCCTTTTCCAGGCTAAACATACCCAACTACCTCAACTGTTCCTCATAAGGCTTGGTTTCCAGACTTTTGGTCATCTTGATTGCCGTTCCTGTTTGTAAATATCATCCTTAAATTGTAGCGCTCAGAATTGGACACAGTATTCCAGGTGTGGCCTGACCAAGGCAGAATAGTGTGGTACTATTACTTCCCTTAGGGACGCGGGTGGCGCTGTGGGTAAAAGCCTCAGCGCCTAGGGCTTGCCGATCGAAAGGTTGGCGGTTCGAATCCCCGCAGCGGGGTGCGCTCCCGTTGTTAGGTCCCAGCGCCTGCCAACCTAGCAGTTCGAAAGCACCCCCGGGTGCAAGTAGATAAATAGGGACCGCTTACTAGCGGGAAGGTAAACGGCGTTTCCGTGTGCGGCTCTGGCTCACCAGAGCAGCGATGTCACGCTGGCCACGTGACCCGGAAGTGTCTCCGGACAGCGCTGGCCCCCGGCCTCTTGAGTGAGATGGGCGCACAACCCTAGAGTCTGTCAAGACTGGCCCGTACGGGCAGGGGTACCTTTACCTTTTATTACTTCCCTTGATCTGGACACTATACTTCTGTTGATGCAGCCTAGAATAGCATTAGCCTTTTTTGCTGCTGCATCACATTGTTGACTCATGTTAAGCTTGTGGTCCACCAAGACCTCTAGATCCTTTTCACATGTGCTGCTAGTAAGCCAGTTGTCCCCCATCCTATATTTGTGCATCTGGTTTTTCCTGCCTAAGTGGAGAACCTTAACATTTGCCCCTGTTGAAATTAATTTTGTTTGTTTGGGTCCAGTTCTCCAATCTGTTAAGGTCATTTTGAATTTTGATCCTGTCTTCTGCAGCATTAGCTGTCCCTCCCAGTCTGGTGTCATCTGGAAGTTTAATGAGCACCCTCTCAATTCCTTCAAGTCATTTATAAAGATGTTAAACAACAACAGGCCCAAGACAGAACCCTGCAGCACCCCACTTGCCACTTCTTTCCAAGATGACAAGGAACCATTAATGAGTACTCGGTCAGTCAACCAGCTACAAATCCCCTTGGATCGTACCTTGGATCTCAAATTTTAAACCGTTCAAGAACCAAGGTGCTGCTTCTGATTGGCTGTAGGAGCTTCCTGCACTCAGTCGGAAGCCGCACCAGACGTTTGGTTTCCAAAAACCGGAACACTCGCTTCCGGTTTTCGATCTTTCAGGAGCCGAAACATACGGGTCCCAAGGCGTTCGGCATCCAAGGTACGACTGTACTTAGTTCAACCCACATTTTATCAGCTTCCTCATGAGAATATCATGGGAGATTTTGTCCCATGAAACTATGCCCACAGCATTTTCCCGTTCCACTAAGTTTGTAATTTCATTAAAAAAAAGAAATCAGATTGGTCTGGCATGACTTATTTTGAGAAACCCATGCTGGCTCTTAGTAATCACAGCATCCTTTTCTAAATGCTTGCAGACAGACTGTTGAATTATCTGTTCTAGGACCTTCCCTGGTATCAGTGTCAAGCTCACTGGTCGGTAGTTATCTGGGTCTTCTCCCCCCCCCCCTTTTTGAAGATGGGGACAACATTTACCTGCCTCCAGTCTGTCGGGGCCTCACCTGTTCTCCAAGAATTCTCAAAGATAATAGACAAAGTTTCTGAAATTACATCCTCAAGCTCCTTTAGTACCCTTGGATGCAGCTTATCAGGCCCTGAAGATTTGAATTCATTTAAAGTAGCTAGGTGTTCCCTTACTACCTCTTTTCCTATCTTGGGCTGCAGCTCCCTCCTTACACAATTTGTTCTGTTATCACCAGGTTGGGCATCGCTTTCCTTTTGGGTGAAGGCAGAGGCAGATTAGGTGTTGAGTAGTTCCGCCTTTTCTTTGTCACCCAATAGTATTTTGTGTTCCCCACGCAGAGAACCTACCACTTACTTGTTCTTTCTCTTACTTCGGACATAGCCGAAGAAACCTTTTTTATTCTTTTTAACCTCTCTTGCAAGCCTGAGCTCATTCTGAGCTTTAGCCAACCTGACTTTCCCCCCTGCAACTTTTAGCTATTTGTGTATGCTCCTCCTTTGCAATTTCCCCTTTCTTCCATTTCTTATACATGCCCTTCTTAACTGTCAGCTCATCTGTGAGCTCCTTATGCAGCCACACCGGTTTCCTTAGATGCCTCCCATTTTTCTTTCTTGTTGGTATTGTTTGTATTTTGACCTTCAATATTACTGATTTTAGAAACACCCATCCTAATTGGACTCCCTTCTCTTTGAGCATTTCTGACCACGGGATCACACCCAGTAACTTCTTCGGCTTTTTGAAATTGGCCTCCTTAAAGTCCAGTGTGTGTGTCCGACTACACTTGGTTTTCCCTTGCCTCTGTATCCTGAAACCCAGGAGAACATGATCACTTCCTTCCAGGTTTCCCAGCACTTCCACTTCATCAGTCAGTTCCTCCCTATTGGTGAGGACCAGGTCCAAGATAGATGGACCCCTTTTTGGTTCTTCCATTTTCTGGGAGATGAAATTGGAGGAATTTGTCAGACCTTGCTCTCTGGCAGAGTTTGAGTCTCAACAGATATCTGGGAAATTGAAGTCCCCCATGATTACTATTTCTCTCCTTTGAATGTTTGGTAA